TGTGCATATATCAATAGTAACAATAGCATGGCAGAAACCTCGTGCAAACACCCGAACAAACCTTCCAACAATATCACGTGCCAATATCACAACATTTCAAAATTGCACCTCGAGTGCTCAAATATTACAACTTGCCACAAAAATCAAAAATACATTAATTTTCACAATAAGGAGCCCATGGCTCGACCATAATGTGCACATAATCTTAACAAAATATACGGGAGTGAACAACTCAATATAATAATATTTCACAATTTAATACTTTGCCTCAATATGATTTACGGCCATTACAACTCAATACCAATTTCAGCAATATGAACTGGAAAGTAATTCATCAAGGAACAATGCCTTCTTAAATCTAAATTATTAGATAATAATATTATGCCTCAATTTAAACTTATTTAATTAATTATTTATCGGTGAAAAATTCATAAGGTGATTATTTCCAAGAAATATCAAATCAGCAAACACACAGAATTCACATACAAATCCAAGTGACAATCACGCCAAATTATCATATAAAAACAAGCTCGGCAAACAAGGAATGAGGCATGACACATAAAAGATTTAATATGTGCCAACAAATTTCCAATTTAATACATAAGGACGTCTACGAATTTCAACCAATATAACCAAGTACGTACTCGTCACCTCGCGCACATGGTTTTCAATTACACAATTTTCACATAAGACTCAATGCCTAAGGGGTTTTTCCCCCACTCAAGATTAGGCAAGATACTTACCTCGAACCATGAAATTCTTTACTCCGCTATGCCTTTGCCTCGCGAATTGGCCTCCGAAATCCTCGTATCTAGTCACAATTAATTCAATATACTCAATACGAATTATAGAAACTAATTCTATATGAAAATACTAAATTTTCCAATCAAAATCCGAAATTCAATTCAAAAATCGACAGTGGGGCCCACGTCTCAGAATCCGACAAAAGTTATAAAATATGAATACACATTCACCACGAGTCCAACCATACAAATTTTACCAAATTCCGACATCAACTCGACCTTCAAATCCCCAAATCTTATTTTCAAATCCCTAGGCCCAAATCCTCGAATTTCACCTCAAAACCACATAATCTAGTTCGGAATAATCGATGGTAATTCAATATTATTGACTAACAATGATCACAAGTGACTTAACTCAAGTTTTCCCGTGAATTCTTGCTCAAATATCGCCTCAACCCATGTTGGAAATGTCTAAAATGACAAAAATTGTCGGAACCCTCTGTTTTGTAATTTGTCCAGTGCTTTCGCACCTGTGGACACTTAACCGCATCTGCGGTTTGGCTTTTGCGGAGATTGTGGTCGCTTCTGCGGACAAGAGTCCTCTTCTGCGAGGCATCCGCTTCTGCGATGAGGCTGACCCTTCCCCTTTTCCACTTCTGCGATGCGTGTGCCGCTTCTGCGGTCGCGCTTCTGCGAGGCATCGTCCGCTTCTTCGGACCTTACGCTTCTACGATGCAAGGCTCTCTTCTGCGAGCTAAATTCCGCAGGTGCGATTGCACCATAAGGCCAAAATTTCCAGCAGCTGTTTAAGTCCAAATTTCGATCTGTTAAACATCCGAAACTCATCCGAGGCCCCCGGGACCTCAACCAAACATACCAACAAGTTCTAAAACATCATATGAACTTAGTCGAAGCCTCAAATCACATCAAACTACTCTAAAAACATGAATCATATCCCAATTCAAGCTTAATGAAACTAAGAACTTTCAACTTCTACATTCGATGTCGAAACATATCAAATCAAGTCCGATTGACCTCAAATTCTGCACACAAGTCATAAATGATATAACAGGCCTATTCCAATTTCCAGAATCATATTTCGACCCCGATATCAAAAAGTCATCTCCCCAGTCAAACTTCTAAGTTTAGATTTCTGTTTTAGCCATTTCAAGCCTAATTTAACTACAGACTTTCAAATAATTTTTTGGACACGCTTATAAGTCCAAAATCACTATACAGGGCTATTGGAATCGTCAAAATTCTATTTCGGGGTCGTTTACACATAAGTCAACCTCCGGTCAACTATTTCAACTTAAGCTTTAAACCTTGGAACTAAGTGTTCTAATTTATTCCAAAACCTCACCGGACCCGAACCAATCACCCCGACAAGTCACATAACAACTGCAAAGACATATTGAATAGTAAATTGGGGGAACGGGGCTGTGATACTCAAAACGACCGGCCGGGTCGTTACAGTTTGGCAACATTGCCCCAACAAATGTTGAACAAACAAGGCTTGAATTGCATGATTTTGTCCCGTGCATGAAGATAAAAATGAGATGTATATCGAATCTGGAGTCGTGGTTGAAGTTAATCCAAGAGATGATGTTGATGATTTCAACACTAGACCTAAAATAATGCTAAGAAGCACCCCAAAAATAAGCTGGAATCACAACCTATAAACAATGAGAATCCGGATCTACAACCCAGTAACTTGAGTTCAAGCGAGAATGAGCTGAAACTTCTGAGAAGTGAAATCAACAAGGTACAGTTCTATTTTGGCTTTGAGCAGTTCTGACAACTTAATTGATATTCGGTTTCACTTTTTCTTTTATAGGTAAACGACAAGGTTTCGTCTTTGGAGTAGTTAATAATTTCCTCATTTGAAAAGGTTTTTAAAGCTCTAGGTAAACGCGGTGCTTCAAAGGTATTCTCATGACTATGCTTATTTGTTATTTTTATAACTTTTTGTATATTTTTCCTGAACAGGGTGATAGAAAATATGGCGACCATCATGACAGTTATGTCTATCATGATAGTCATGTCCATTATGATATTGGTGATATTCATAATGATTATTTTGGCGATAAGGAAGTTGCAGAGTATAATTTTGGTAGTGAGGAAGTTATGGAGAAAAATATTGGCAATGAGAAAGTTGTAAAGAAAATTGTTGGCACTAAGATAAGTCTAGAGCAAACTGTTGATGTTATGGAGGGTGTGGTGAAGGATTCTATAGAAGCTGGTAAAAGTAGTGAAGGAGTTGGTGATGATGAAGCCTCGATTGAGGATGCCGAGCCTGAAATCACTGCAATCACCCAGAAGTTTTGTGACAAAAATGATGTAGATAGTGATAGTGTAGTTAATATTGTAGAAGTTAAGAAAAATACTGCTAATATGGGGGGTTTGGTTGAGGATTCTGTACAAGTTGTTGGTAAAAATAGTTGTGAGGAAGTTGGCGAGGACAATGATTGGACTAGTTATGCTGAGGCTCAAATAAATGCAATCTTCCTAAAGTATTTCGATCAAAATATTGTACATGGTGATTGTTTTAGAGTGGAGAAAAATGTTGCTACTATGCAGGAAGATCGTATAGTTGTTGTTGATCATGACACACCTGAAATGATCCCTAGAGAAAGGAAACCAGCAGGGGTCATGAAGTCACCATTTAGGAACACATTTGATTCTGGTGGCACCATCCAAATTGCTCAAAATAAGCCAACTAAGTCAAAGAAGCCCATCTTGACAAATAAGCCAAATAAGTCTATCTTCACTATAAAATATCATTTTCAAGAAAATGTTGACAATCCTGTTGATTTTAGAATATTGTGTAAGTGGAACACTTTCATCAATAGAGGCTTAAGGACTAATGCACCGTAAGATTTATGTTTCAGTTTTTTCTTTTTCGTTTTTTTTCCTTGTTTATTTTTCGTGTTTCGTGTTATGAACCATATCTTTTTATCGTGATTCATCAGCGACGGTATACAGAGATTAGCAATAAGCTAAATAAAATCTTTAAATTTGGATTTGATGATTTTGTAGAAAAAAAATGATTCTTCACATTTGCATATCCCGGCCTACCCCTGTGTGATTTAGTAAGTCAACACTATAATGGTTCTTTATATTTTCAGTATATTGATGTTAATTTGTTAGCATAAATGCCATTTCCTTTCTTTTATCCATGTTGTAATTACATCTAGATTCTATTTGTAATAAAATAAGAAATGGGACTCGGTAACCCTTGGATAGTAGGCAGAAGAAAGGACTAGAACAATAATGGCAATAGAAAATATAGTATCAACTTGGAAGAGTATCCTTTATGTATATTTACAGTATCTTATGTAAAATATATAATCGGTTTATACATAAAATATATATTTTAGTTTTCCCATAATGTAATTTTCTAACTATGTATGTTTATTTTTCATATTTCAGTATATTTATGTTATTTTTTACTATTTGAGAAAGAAAGGGAAGTACGGTGTTGATATTCTAGTAAGATTCACAACTACCGACTGTTGGTTTAACTGCTTGATTTCGAATTTGTACAAGGAGTTTTTGGAGAAAAACAAAGACATGAATTTGATTACTGAAACAGATCCAATTGCTGAGTATATACTTGGGTATTTTTTAAGATATAATGTTCCTTGGTGTACTGTTGATGAAGTCATTTTCCCTATAAATCTGTCTGATAAGTGGCACTGGATATTGGCGAGACTGTCATTCAAAGATCTGCGCATTTATGTATACGATTCCATGAGTGGCGCGCGGCAGAATAGTGCAGTTCGGAGATCAATTAAGCTATACTCAGTGTTGCTCCCATATTTTCTTCATCGTATTGGTTTTTGGGATACAAAGGAGAATCATATGGGAACTCGCGACATTGATCCTTTTGAGATTCATGTCGTTGATAGGTTGCCAACGCAAGATAACACGTAAATTATTATTGAATATTTCTGATTCTTATTCATTTTTGTACATGAATTCCTATTTGGATATTATACTAACTTATTTAACGTTTATGTGCGACCTTGTATGTAGTGACTGTGGTGTTTATGTTGCTGCATTTACTGAGTACATCATTCAAGGCAACAGTATTTCTAAAGCTATTGATATTGATGGGATACAGAACCGATATGGTATATTGCTACGGGATTATGGAGTGAAGAAACAAAGAGCACATGCAGTTAGTGATGACGAGTCTACTGGTAGATTGAAGGATCTGACAAAAAGGATAACAAGAAAAATGGCAAGTCGCATGACGTTGGTGATGACAAGGCTTTGAAGGATAACAAGAAAAGGGCCAAGACGCATGTCGTTGGTGATGACGAGACTTTGAAGGATATCAAGAAAAAAGGGCAAGTTGCATGCCGTTGGTGATGACTAGACTTTGAAGGAAATCAAGAAAAAGGGCAAGTTGAAGGGCAAGATGAAGAAGTTTGGGATAGTTTAGCGGAAAATTCACATGTAGTTTTAAGATGAAGTGATTTGGTACTGATATTGTCTTATGATTGGATATAATTGCATACTTATATCACGTTTTATATTTTTTGTTTGGGATGTTTTTGAACAATATGTTTGAAATGCTAATGTTGAATTTGTACTTTTAATTGCGACTTGTTTGTTTTCACTTAATAGTGAAATTTTGAAAGTTTTAGATTTTGTGTAGTTTTGACTTTTCTATAGTTTTAGTTTTTTAATTTATACAGTTTTAATCTGTTTCGACAGGTTTTGCAAATTTAGCTGGTGTTGCTAAGTTGTTATAGGAAGTTTTGTGAATGAAGTTTTGGGGGCAGCTAAATTGTATATAAATTGTATAGCGACAGTATATTTTATATAAATTTTGTATAGTAACAGTCGTTTTTGTATATATTTTGTATAATGACATCTATTTTGTATAAATTTTATATAGCCACGTCTATTGTATGGAAATTGTATATACAATAGTGACGGTCTATTTTTTTTTGTATAAATATACAGATTCTATTTTGTATATTTCTTATATAGTGACAATCTTTTTGTATATATTTTATATAGTGACATCTATTTTGTATATATTTTATATAGGGATAGTATAATTTGTATATCTTTTGTATAGTGACAGTCTATTGTATATAAATTGTATAGTGACAGTCTATTTTGTATATTTTTTATACAGTGACAGCCTTTTTTGTATATATTTTGTATATTGACATCTATTTTGTATATTTTTTGTATAGTGACATTCTATTGTATATAAATTGTATAGTGACAGTCTATTTTGTATATTTTTGGTATAGTGACAGCCTTTTTTGTATATATTTTGTATATTGACATCTATTTTATATATTTTTCTGTATAGTGACATCCATAATAATATTTGGAATAAAACTTCAACCAATACTTTTATTACGATAAAAAGTAGTATCTTTATTCATACATCAGAGAATCTGATTGCAAATCTCATTATTTTTTCAATATTCTAATTGTAACAATCACAAGGAAAACAGTTACAAAATACTAAAGCATTGTAGCAACATCTACTAGTTGTCTCGAGCATTCCTGCATGTTCTTCTGTTGTGTCATTGTTTTCCACACAGTCCACAGGTAACTGTTTGAGTATACAGATATTCATAAAGTCCCTTGCGTCGCGACTTCGTCGGTCTTCCTGATTTTCCCTTCACTATCGGTAGTATGACCACATAATCTAACACCTCTGTTGGAAGGTCCCATGTAGTTTCATCTGGAAGTGGATTAACTGACACTTCATATGTCTTCTTGAAGTATTCCTTAGTGTAATAGGCAGAACAATATTTTGACGCTTCTATGTGTGTGTAGTCCAATACTACCATAGCATGTGGACAAGGAATCTCATCCACTTGAAAATCGTTTGCACGAGCATTCCCTTTTTTGCATGCAGACTATGTTCCGCCTTTGTTCAGCATCCATTACTACATATACATAATCGGTTGAAGGCCTCACCTAAATTTAAATAGATATCATTAGTAAAACAAGGATATGACAAGTATTAATGCATTTTTGTCAAAGTATGTTATTCAGGCGTATGAAGTAAGACATGATAAAAGAATATTTGTCGTCATCTTATGCGATAAACTGCTATTTTCCTTCAGTACTTCGTTATATCTTTTTCCTAGGCCAGTAAATGTACTCATTGTAGTCATTCTATTTGTATTATTCTATTCCATAATCAAATTCATCATGTAATCTAGCAAACCCATGATTGGTAGCTCTCTTGCCTCTTTGTTTCTTGCATTGAGTGACTCGGCAATATTTGAAGTCATCACCATTGATCTATTAACAGTGGAATGTGCTATGGACCACTTTACATAACCAACTTGGAACAGGTAACCCCTTACCCTCTTATCAATGTTGTCCATATCTTTCATGAGGCGATTAAAATCTTCAATTTTGTATGCTCTGGCCATTGCAAAAAATACTTCCCTCGGCCGGTCATGGTTCTTCTTGAACTGCTTCTTTATGTTATTCCAAAGATGGAAGATGCATACACAATGAGATACCTTTGGATACACAATTAAAGCACCCTTCAATATGCTTGCATGATGATCGGATACGATGCACATCCTTTCCCTTTCCCCAAAAGCCTATCTAAATATTTCAAAAAACCATTCCCAGGAAGCATCATTTTCAGAATCGACAACAGCATATGCTAGTGAAAAAGTTTTACCTGGTTAAACAAATAAAAAAGCATTCACATGTTATTTTTGTTATACACAGATAATAACTATCTATAACATATATAATTATTATATAAGACTGCGACATATTCACCTGTCGCATCTTGTGTGCTAGCTGTTAACATTGTTCCCCCTATGTGATGATTTAAGGAATGTTCCGTCAACCACTACAATAGGGTAGCAATATTTCCATCCTACGATTGATGCATTGTGCGACAAAAATATACATGAAGTGCCCGTCCTCTGATATATGTAACATATGACAGAACCAGGATTTGTCATATTTATCATATATAAGTGACCCGACAGTTTACTATAAGATTCGTGTGGTATCCCTCTTAGCAGTTCAAGTGCTTTTTCTTTTGTTCTATAAGTTTTTACTTAACTCATACTAATCCCATACTGTTGTTTCATGTCACTCATGATGTCTGCCGGAGTGTATATTATTTTTGGATTGGCATATTTGTTGCAAATCATTTTTGCAATGGCTGACAAAGTAGCATGACATTATGAAAACAGTCTACTTGTCTCTGGGCAAGTGTGAACATCATTGAACCGTCTAACCTTGAAGACATTTGATTTGTGTAGACTTGAAGATCTAAGACTCCATTTGCAACTTTTATCCACGCATGTAAGACAATACCTATTTAAAATATAGTATTATGATTATGCACTTCTTCAGATGTTTACACTTGTGTCTCAAATAAACAAGAAATATACATATGCAATCTCATTATACAATAATTATATATTTTTTATACAAGCAGTATACATAAAATTACAGAGAAGTGCAATCTCATACGTAGAAATTATATCTTATTGTAGATGATCTATCCACTATAAATTGACATTTTTCTCGTATTGCATAGTGTTTTATTACACTAATGGGTGTATCTTTGTCCTAATACAACTGACCTTCTGCAATTTCTTCATGTTGTGGATTATCTATTATACAATTTCCCTCATTATCTCAATTTTATCTTATTTTCCATGATTATCCATCATCTCAACAATATTAGTTCTGTGTACTTCTTCTACGTTCTAACATTGTAAACCGGCTGAAGTTGTTGCGAGTAAGTTACCACCCAAGTATGAACTTGAATATAAGCATTCAGCACTTGAATACACAATTTTCAATGTTATGCATAATGAATATTCAGTGATATCCAGGTTTTCTTTTTTTATCTCCATATACAAGTGCACACTCATATCATTGTATATTGGAATTGCTATATAGCCATCCTTCACTGTATATTTTATCTCCATCACACTTGTAATTGAATCTCTACCCAATTGCTTATATATCTCATTAACAAAATACTCATAGCTACAGTCCGAATTGATCAGCACGCCATTAAGAAGGAAATTAATAAATTTACTCTCACTTACCCACTCACCACTGTGTTAAAGTAAAATCATAATCAAAATTGGAACATTAGTTCCAACATTCACAATCTCCATAGACATTAGTTGATTTTGTCAATTTTGTATTAATTTCACAATTTAAAAACGAAATCTCAACTCCATTTAAGCTGATTGTAGACCGCAATTGTGCAAAATTTTTGAATTTCAGCGTGAATTTTTTGGAGCTCTGCTCTGGTTTACTCTTAAGAAACCCTATATTTGTTTTGACAATGTGAATAATTGGGAGACTTTTATACTATTTGAGGGTTGAAGATTCTATACTGAAGGCGTGAATTTAGGATACAAAATCGATTTGGAGCGATTTCCTTTTCGTTTTCGTTGAGCGTATGATTTCAGATTTTTCAGTTGCTAGCATTTATTATTGTTTTTAGGCTATGACTTGTGTAACGATCCGACCGGTCATTTTGATCCCTAGTGCTTTATTCAGTGGTTTGAGTCCTTGAGAAGCTTCTCTTCAGGAATTGTGACTTACATTTGCGGTCGGAATTTAATTTCGAAAAGTTCGGAGTTGATTCAGAAAGAAAATCCTCATTTCGGAAGCTTTAATTTGGAAGAATTGACTAAGGTTGGACTTTTGAGTAAACGACCTCGGAATCGGTATTTGAAGGTTCCAATAGGTTCGTATGATGATTGTGGACTTGGGCGTATATCCGGATCGGGTTTTGGATGATCCGGGAGCGTTACGACGCTTATTGTGGGAAGTTGGCATTTTGGAAGAATTTTTATAAATTTGGGTTGCAGTGTATTTTAATGTTATCAATTTTCGTTTAGGATTTCGAGCCCGGAAATAGCTCCGTATGGTGATTCTGGTCATAGGAACGCGTCCGGATGTGGATTTGAAGGTCCGTATGTCATTTCGGGGTCATTTGGCGAAAGTTAAAAATTTGAAGGTTTATGGAAAGTTTAACCGGGAGAAGACTTTTTGATATCGGGGTCGGATCTCGATTCAGGAAGTTGGAGTAGGTCTATGATGTCATTTGGGACTTGTGTGCAAAATTTGAAGTTGTTCCGAATTAATTTGATATGTTTCGGCGCGAGTTGTAGAAGTTGAAAGTTCATAAGTTCATTAAGTTCGATTTGAGGTGCGATTCGTAGTTTTGATATTGTTTGACATGATTTTAGATCTTGAGCAAGTCCGCGTTATATTTTGGGACTTATTGGTATGTTCAGACGTGGTCCCGAGGGGCTCGGGTGAATTCCGAATAGGTTTAGGTTGTGTTGTGCTCGTTTTTTATGCTTCGACTTCGTTTCTTCAAGCATAAATGGTATCACATTAAGTAAATAAACTCCAATTTCTATTTTGATTGAAGAATTAGATCCGTACCATAATTACGGAGCCATAGCAAAAAGAATCGTCGAATTTGGATATCGTATGAGGAAGTTATGCTCATTTTAGTATCGGAGAATAGAGCTGGTGCTGGTGCTTCGCAGGTGCGAAGTTGGATCCGCATCTGCGACCCCGGTGCAAAAATTAGTCCGCAAAAGCAAAA